CATACGGACGGCGTATGCAGAAATGCATGCGTCGTTCGATTTCCACAGTTGATCAGAGCAAAGTTGTATTTCGGTAGGCCCAATTTTTGTAAAAAAAAATAAAAATAAAAATTTGATCCAAACTCTGATCAACGGTGGAGATCGGTCGGCACATGCATTTCTGCATACGCCGTCTGTATGGAATAAGGAGGAGGGGGAATGGTTATTAGACAAAGCCCCTTTTCAACAGTTGGGAGCAGTTGAGGTTTTGGATTAATTAATTAATAATAATATTATTATTATTATTAATTTTATGGTCGACAATTAGTATCTGATACCGTTGATGTTAATTCCTCAAATCGCTTGCTTAGTTAAATCTTGGAGCTAAATTCTTAAATCTTAGAATCGCCGACTATATGCTCTTAATCCTAGAACTCAAGATTTTATGGTATAACCTTCTTAAATATTAAGCCTAGTCACTAGTTACAATAATGGTCATATCACAAATGGTAAACCATTCTTCAAAAATCAAGAAAAATAACTAAGCCATAAATGCCGCATGACATTTTAAGCCTTGACGATTAATTTAATGCCAATTGTATACAAATAAAGACAGAACAAAACATAAATTTATACAAGCAAGAATTAGAACCCTATCTCTGCAACATCACATTTCTTCAATCTAAATATTACCAAATAAATGCAGGTTTTGAGAACGCAAGCTCTTGCCATTTTGGCTCCTGTTATCATGTTGATACAAGGGCCCGAGTTATCTTTTTTGACCTCGGTGCTGCTGAATTGGACGGTTTTTATCAAAAGCGGACTTCTTCAAGGCTCTCACTGTCCATTGAACAACCTCGGGCCTCTGGCAGGGAGCATGAAGGCCTGATGAGTTGGCCTGAGAATTTCTTTACAGCGAGGAACTCTAACGTGACCGACGCACCACCAACTACCTTCTCAGCTAGAGCAATGGAACTGAGCATCTATGGCACCATGGTATGTACATTATAAAATTGTGATTATTCATCCCTCGGGGGCTGTTTGGGATCACTTCTTTTTTCTTTTTTTGTTTTTTATTTTGGTTATATTTTTACTTGAAATGAAATATGTTTGATATGATATACATGTTTAGTTGTTTTTAAAAGCATTCAAAAAAAAAATTTAGATATTTTCGAGTGTTTTAAAAAAGAATTAATTTGTTTAAAAACAAAAGATAAAAACATGCACAAAAAAAAAATTATTAAACAAATATGTTTTTAAAATAAAAGCAAAAACAAAAAAAACAAAAAAGTAAAGTGATTGTAAACAAACTATTAATTTCATGTTTCTCAATTACCAAAAATTTTCAGCACATTCTTGCACTGAATCTTGAATCACAGATGAATGACGGGCTAAGGGATTTCAGAAGCTTCTACAGATCTTCGCAAAGCAGACAAAACCATAGTCTGTCGTATCCTCATATACCCGCTGAGACGACGACAAATGTTTGTCCTCTTTTATCCGTACAATCTGAAGGAAATAGCGCGAACATGAGGCTTGGTAACAGACAGTTATTCAGGATAGCACCATTGCCTCTGCGGCCTGTGAGAAGGAGACAACGAAATGTTGAGGGAGATGATTCAAGTGATGATGATTTGGGTGGGGAAGTCGTCGTGCTAATCGATTCCCCAAGCACTATTTCATTCAGCAATGTTTCTTGAGGAAAGCTTAGGCGTCAGAAATGTGAGAAATCTTTCAATGATTTCTCAGAAGCTTCCGGGTTTCTTCTGAGTTTCTCAAGTTGTATAATAATCAAGAAGGCAGCTGCTTCCTGTCATTATTTGGTTGGTGGAAATTAAACAGCTGCTGGTTTGCTTGAAACTTAACTCCCCATTCTGAGGCTTATCATAAATAAACAATGCTAGGATATGGTTTTTATGCAAATGTTTAATGTTATGCTAAAATGTTTACTGCTATATGTTCATCTTAGTGGAACGTGAACATTCATTTGAAATTTTTGGTGTCTTTCTTCTTATTTTAGCTGGAGCTCATGCATGGCCTCCAGAGCTCGAGTTACAAGTTATTTTTATCTTTGGGGGCAGAGGTTGATCGACATGATAATGCATTATAAACTTACTATATTTATATTTTTAAAATTATTTTTAGTATCAATAAACTTACAAACTACACATCAAGGCCAAAAGGTCATTGAATTTGCTTTTGCTTTTCAACTATTTATTAAATTTAATGTAAACAATCTTTATAAAATTAATATTATGCTTTTTTT